TGGCAACTATTATCCTACTCTCTGCTTCTGTGAGTCTGACTTTTTTCAGATTCCATATGTAAGTGAGATCATGTGGTATTTGTCATCCTGTGTCTCACTTACTTCACTTAGCATAATGTCTTCCAGGTTCATCTGTATTGTCACAAATGACAGGATTTCCTTTCTTAAGGCTGAATAATATTCCATTGCATATATACCATAATTTCTTCATCCGTCCATCCATCCATCAGTGACCACTTAGGTTGTTTCCATATACTGGCTATTGTGAATAATATCACAATAAACTTAGGAGTGCAGATCTCTCTTCGAGAGACTGATTTCATTTCCTTTGGATACATGTCCAGAAGTGGGATTGCTAGATCACAGGGTAGTTTTTGAGGAAACTCCATATAGTTTTCCATAATGGCTGTATTAATTTACAATCCCACCAACAGTGGACAAGGGTACCCTTTTCTGCTTATGCTTGCCAACTTTGTTATCTTTCATCTTTTTATAATAGCTATTCTGACAGGTGTAGGTGATAACTTGTTGTGGTTTTGATTTGCATTTCCATGATGAATCAGTGATGTTGAGCACTTTTTTTCCCCCATATACCTGTTGCCCATCTGTATGTCTTCTTTTGAGAAATGTCTTTTTTGGTCCTTTGCCCATTTTCTGATCGGATTGTCTTTTTTGCCATCGAGTTATATCGTTTCCTTACATACTTTTTCTCTTATTTTTTTTAAATTTTGTTTTGGTGTAATCCATACATGTTTTTTTATATTAATCCCTTATCAGATCTGGTTTGCAAATATTTTTCTCCTATTCTCTAGATTGTTTCTTCATTCTGTTGATTTTTTTTTCCTTCACCATGCAGAAACGTTTTAGTCTAATGTAGTCTTGCTTGTTTGTTTCTGCTTTTGTTGTCGGTGATTTTGGTGTCATGTCAAAAAAATCATTGCCAAGACCAATGGCAAGGAGGCTTTTCTGTATGTTTTCTTCTAGTAGTTTTATAATTTCAGGTCTTCAATTCCATTTTTAGTTGATTTTTGTATAAGAGTGAGCAACATTCGTTTAGATTATCCTTTCCCAATTGCATGTTCTTGGCACTTTTGTCTAAGATCAATTGACTGTAGATGCATGAACTTGTTTTTGGGCTCTCTATTCTGTTGCATTGGTATGTGTGTCTTTTTGTGCCAATACCATACTGTTTTGATTACTGTAGCTGTGTTATATATTTTGAAATCGGGAAGTATGATTCCTCCAGATTTGCTCTTCCTTTTTTAAGACTGCTTAGGCTATTCATGGTATTTTGTAGTTCCATATGAATTTCAGGATTCTATTTCTGTAATGAATTCCATTGGGACTTTGATAGGGATTGTGCTGAATCTGTAGATCACTTTGGGTAGTGTGGACATTTTAAAAATATTAAGTCTTCCATGACGTGAACACAGGATGTCTTCACATTTGTTTATGTCTTTTTTTAATTGCCTTCATCAATGTTTTATAATTTTCAGTGTATAAATGTTTCACCTCTTTGGTTAAGCTTACTCCTGTTTTATTCTTTTTGTTGCTATTGTAAATAGGATTGCTTTCTTAATTCCCTTTTTGGACAGTTTATTTGTGTATAAAAACATCACTGATTTTTGTATGTTGATTTTGTGTGCTACAAATTTACTGAATGTATTAGTCTTAACAGTTTTTGGTTAAGTCATCAGGGTTTTCTATATATATGATCATGTCATCTTTGAACAGAGATAATTTTACTTTTTCCTTTCCAATATGGATGACTTTTATTTCTTTGCCTTATGTAATCGCTCTGGCTAGGACTTCCAGTACAATATTGAATAGGGTGGCAAGAGTAGGTATGTTCACCTTGTGCTGGATCTTAGAGAAACAGCTTCGAATTTTTCCCCATTGATTGTGATGTTAGCTGTGGTCTTTTCATATACAGCCTACACTGCATTAAGGTGAGTTGCTCCTGCACCTATTTTGTTGAGATTTTTCATCATGAATTTGTCAAATACTCAACTTTGCCAAATGCTTTTTCTACATCTATTGTGACAATCATGTGTTTTATATCTTTCATTACGTTAATGTGGTATATCACATTGATTAATTTGTGTATGTTGAACCATCTTTGCACCCCCCTGGAGATAAAGTCTACTAAGTCATGGTGTGTAATTCTTTTAATGTGCTGTTGAATCTGGTTTGTTAGTATTTTATAGAGGATTTTTACATCTATGTTCATCAGGGATATTGACCTATAATTTTCTTTTCTTGTGGTGTCTTTGCCAGGCTTTGGTATCAGGATGATGCTGGCTTTATAAAATGAGTTTGAAAGTGTTCCTCCTTTTCCTCCTCCTCCTCCTCCTCTTCCTCCTCCTCCTCTTCCTCTTCCTCCTCCTCCCTTCTCCTCTACCTCCTCTTCTTTTTTTTTTTTTTTTTTTTGTTTTGTTTTGTTTGTTTTTGTTTTTCTGGATGAATTTAAAGAAGATTGGTGTTAATTCTCCTTTGACTGTCTGGTAGAGTTGTTCACCCATGAAGCCACCTAGTCCTGGGCTTTTTGTTATTATTGTTGTTAGGAGGTTTTTAGTTATTGAGTCAATCTCCTCATTTGTATTGATCTGTTCAGATTTTCTATTTCTTCTCAGTTCAGTTTTGGAAAATTTTATGTTCCTGGAAATTTATCCATTTCTTCTAGGTTATTCCATTTGTTTGTATATCACCGTTCATAATAGCTCCTTATGATCCTTTTTATTTCCGAGGCATGTGTTGAAATGTCTCCCCTTTCATTTCTGAATATATTAATTTGAATCTTCTCTCTTTTTTTCTTAGTCTAGCTAAGGGTTTGCCAGTTTTATCTTTAAAAAGCAACTTAGTCTTGGTGATTTTTTTTCCTATTTTCTACTTGATTGCTGCTCTAAGATTTATTATTTCCTTCCTTCTGCTAACTTTGGGCTTAATTTGTTCTTCTTTTTCTCTGTCCTTGAGGTATAAAGTTAGGCTGTTTATTTGAGATGTATTGTAAACACATACATTTATCTCTGTAATTGTCTCTCTCGATACTGCTTTTGCTGCACCTCACAAGCTTTGGTATGTTACATTTTCATTTCCATCTATCTCAAAATATTTAAATCCTCTTTGGATCCCTCTTTGACCCAATGACTGTCCAAGAGTGTGTTGTCTAGTTTCCACATATTTAGGAAATTTTCGTTTTCTTACTGTTATGGATTTCTAGCCTCGTTCCACTGTGGTCAGAAAGGATATTTGGAATGATTTCAGTATTCTTTGATCTATGAAGACTTGTTTTGTGATCTAACGTGTGGTATATCCTGGAGAAAGTTCCGTGTGCACTTGAGAAGATGCCGTATTCTTCTGCTGTTGGGTGGAAAATGGTGTACATATATCTGTTGGTCCATTTGGACCATAATGTTGATCAAGTCAGCTGTTTCTTTATAGATTATATGTCTGGATGTTCTCTCTAACCCCACAGAAAGGGACAGATACAAGGATGTTCAATTCGTGTGTGTGTGTGTGTGTGTGTTTGCGTGCGGTGCCAAGGAGTCCAAAGCAAGCTGGAGGCAGCTATGAGAAAAAAATATTAATAAAATATGGGGTTGTGCACCATGGCAAGGAGTTAGAAGGACCAGTTTAGCTTCACACACAGCAGTACAAATGGACCTATTATAAAAACAGATGCTCAGTGAAAAAAGTAACGAGGTATGATACTGCTTACATATATAAAAAATACATCACACCAAACAACAATATATATTTTTCAAGGCCATATACAAAAAGGAACCCACATTAAATACATTAGAAGAGTTACATGGTAGTCTAGAGAAATGAGAATGATCTATGGGGATCAAAGGGAATAGTTTTTTTAAAAATGGGTAACCATGGATGGACCAGTGATGATGGTGTGTTATGAACTGAGGAATTTGTTTAACCAAGGCATCTCTACCCAAAGTCAGAAAAGGAGGAGGAGGAAGAAGAGGAAGGGGGAGGGAGGAAAAGGAAGGAAAATAGGTTGGTGAAGGGAAAAGCACACCAGGCATCATTGCTCCGCTTGTCGCTGTGGCTGTCACCTTATGGAGTTCATTGCTCACAGTCGGATGGGAAGATAGGAAGAAGCTGCACAGACACATTGACTACCTCCTGGCAAAGACCACGGAAGAGCTGTTGAACTTGAAGTTTTACACTTTAAAAAAAAAAACAAAATGACAAGTGTTTCAAATTTTCTGACACTTTCTATAATGACAAGTAGCTCTGAGGAATATATAACCCAGCAGATACTGTAATTTCAAAAGAATAAACATATCAATCTGTCCCGTGAAGATTCCACTTTTAATACAAATGAGAAAGTAGTTGCTTTTCTAAGGAAACTCCTGCTAAGGAGAGAGCATTTTTGCAAAGTTTTTCATTATTATATTACTTTATTTACCCCCCCAAAAAACCTCACATTTAAATCTATCATCTATAAAAATCCTCATAGCTGCAAGCTTAAAGTCTTAGAAATAAACCATTCTAACTATTTACAAAATCTTCCAAGTGAAAAGTTTTCGTGGGTTTTGAGCCCACTTGTTAAAAATATCAAGAGGAAGTGCCTTTCAATTAGTTTGCAAGAACAACATCAACATCGTGAAACATGGAAACTGACCAGCCAGATGTCAACAAAAATCTTTGCAAAATTGGCAGTTGGGATTGAAAAATGAACACCATTAGCTTCATCCACGCAGAGCCACAACCTCTTGTGTGACATGTTTTTCAGTTATGATAGCCTTTCAAACCATGCATTAAAATCTACTGAACCTTAGAAATCAGGTCCTTAAATTGCAGTATCAGAAAGTGTTAAAGAATTTAAAATATAACGAAGCGGATTTTTCTTCATGCATAACCAGATTCCTAATGAATTCTTCACTCTGATGAGAAATATTATTAATACTCTAATACCACTAATTTTCATGATAACCAAAAGGGTTTTTGTACTGTTAAGACAGTAAGACAAAATGCAAAAATGCATTTTGAAACATTAGTTGTATCCTGTTTATTTTATCCTTTACAATTGCTGTTTACATTTGCTTTATAATGTACATCGTGTGCCAGTACAATGGAAATTTTTTTCCTGATGGGTATGGTACAATAAAAAATGCTCGGAGACTGTATCAGTTTCCTATTGCTTCTGTAACATACAATTGTAATCTTTGTGGCTTAAACCAACACAGACTTACAGTTTTTACAGTTCTGGAGGTCAGAAGTCCAAAGCCTGCCACAGAGCCTGCCACAAAGCTCTGGGGCAGAAACTAGAAAACCAACCCAAGGATGAAAGTCACTGCCATCTCTAGGGTCAGGTTGGGGGTGCGAGGTCCCCAGCAGGGCGGTCTTGGTGAGCTTAGCTCCTGGCCTCGGCCTTGAGGGGAAGCTGGGCCTCGCCGCCAGCTGATGCCTGGGGTATTTCTTTCCTCCAATTCCCATCCTTTTGGCTGAAAGTAATAAACCTCTTGTTGAGGTAAGAGAGGGTAAGAACGACTGCTGCTTTTGCTTTCTACAGAGTCCGCGAGCCCCACGTGCTGATCTGGAGTCAGGCTCTTAGTCCCTGCGTGGTCTGGGCGGATTTCCGAGCGCCTCTGATCCTGAGTTGCTTCCTCTTCAAAACGGAGACGCTAATCCGGATTTTGCGGGATGGTTGAGGATTGGAGGCTACAACATACGAGCTGCTTGCACAAGGAGCCTGCTAAAGAAACGTCAGTTTCTTTCCCTCTTGTAGTTAAAATTTCCATCCATTCAGTCCTTCATCCAGGGACCAAGACTCATCTATAAGGATGCAGGAACGTGAGAGCAAATTAAGTCCCAGAGTAAAATGCTAGTGGCAACAATTTCTCATTTCATACGGGGATTAAGAAACGTACAGCCTCATTCATGGCTGCCTCAAAAGAGTGCCAAGCAGGACAATAAAATCGAACAGACGTTAGAACACGGCACACTTGGCACGCCATAGGTGGCGAATTAATTTCCCCCAGACCCCCTTAAAGACAGAAATCTTACTGATAGCGTTGTGCTTTGACATTTTTGCAAATACTTGGAAGGAGAACACACAGAGCAAGGCATTTGTTCTACAAAGTGTCTGGCTTCTCACCTGAGCTCCCTAGGAGGCTGGGCGGCGGAGAGGCACTTTCCCGGGCAGACACCTTCTGCAAGGAAGCGGCTTCGTTTTCCTGCTCTGGAACACGGAGCTTGTCAAATCCCACTTTCCTGCCAAAGGTTTTTTGGTTTTTATTTTTTTCCCCCCTTTCATGCAGTAACATCCCCCTCTGCTGGAACTTGTGGATTTTGCTGCAAATATTTAGTAAGGACAAGTAAAAATTAAATATGGAATACATTTTGCATCTAAACTGGTGGTTCTTAAACTTTATGTGTAAGAATCTTCTGGGATGCTGTTTATTTTTTTTTAATGGAGACTTTTGTACCCCAAACTCATCTCCTAAATCTCCTAAGATTTAGAAGGAGCCTGGAGTGGGGCTGAAATCTACACTGAAAGACGGCTGACCTCCTGCCAGCCCTGCCTAGAAGGAAACAGGGAGAGATCTGGAAGGAAACAGGGGGAGATCTAGAAGGAAACAGGGGGAGATCTGGAAGGAAACAGGGGGAGATCTAGAAGGAAACGGGGAGATCTGGAAGGAAACGGGGAGATCTAGAAGGAAACAGGGGGAGATCTAGAAGGAAATGGGGGGAGATCTAGAAGGAAATGGGGAGAGATTGGTTTAAGCTCAAGACATTGTATCTTGAAGGCAGACATAAAAGAAAGGGAAGGAGGAGACACTAAAAATAATAATGGCGGAACACTAAAAATAATAATGGCAACAATAATTGTGTTAGTTTCCCACGGCTGCTGGCGGCAGACGTCCAAACTCAGGCTCACAGGGCTAAACCAAGGTGCTGGCCGGGCTGTGTTCCTTCCGGAGGCCCCAGGGCAGAATCCGTTCTCCTTCCTTCTCCCAGCTGTAGCAGCCACTGTGTTTCTTGGCTCCTGGCACCTCCCCCATCTTCAAAGCCACTCCGCTCCCCTCGCTGCACCTCCTCCTCCGACCCCCACCGCCCTCCTGCAAGGACCCTGGTAATTATATATTGTCCCCCCTCCCCGCTCCAGATAATCCAGAACCACCTCCCCAGGTCTATACATGCACATGAAGTATTTAAATGTGTTCAGTCCTGGTTGGTTAAAAATAACCGAGTCTCAGTTGGGTAGTTTCTAAGCTGGAAACCAGAGGTCACTCTGTTGGGTGTCCCTTTTGGGCAGCTGGCGCAGCTGGTGGAAGGAGTTTCCAGCAATGGGTCCCAGCTCCGGCAGTAGGTCCATCTTAGCCCAGAGGCACACGCGGGGTGTTTGCTGGGAGCTGCCTTATCTGGGAGCAAAGGGCACGTGACTGCCCTTCTCTCATTCCCCACAGCTGCTGGGTTCCTGTCCTCTTAATTTGGGCATCTCTGTCAGTCACCAGGAGTCCATCTCATTTGGGGAAACTGAGGTGTTGTCCGGGCTAGAGTGCCGTGGTGGTAGCTCACAGCAACCTCACACTCCTGGGCTCAAGCGATCCACCTGCCTCAGTCTCCCAAGTAGCTGGGACTACAGGCATGTGCCACCATGCCCGGCTAATTTTTTCTATATATATATATATTAGTTGGCCAATTAATTCTTTCTATTTATAGTAGAGACAGGGTCTCGCTCTTGCTCAGGCAGGTTTCAAACTCCTGACCTCGAGCAATCCGCCCACCTCAAATTCCAGAGTGCCAGGATTACAGGCGTGAGCCACCGCGCCGGCCGAAGTTTCGCTTTACAACCGCATACTCTGTTCGGAGATTCATCCCAATTGTGTGAGATCCAGGTTGTTCCTTCACAGAGCTGCGGGGTGTTCCGTCGTGTGAGTGTGCCACACTGCATTCCTGCCTTTGGCAGATGCGGTGGGCAGACCGCAGGTGGCCCCCAAGACCCCCACCTGCTGGTGCTCATGCCCCTGTGAGACCCCCTCTCCTTGAGAGGAGGCAGGAGGTGCGACGCGCTTCTAACTGACAGAACACAGCCACTGTGATGCAATTCGCCTCCGCGGTTACGCGGCATAGCACTGTGACCTCCACCTTGCAAGGGGACTTGCTCCCTTGCGGGCTTTGATGAAGTCAGTGGCATAGTGGGGAGGCCCAGGTGGCAAGGAACCGAGGGTGGCCTCCCGCTGACATCCAGAGGGAAACTGAGGCCCTCGGGTTTACAGCCACGAAGGACTGAATTCTGCCGACAAGCGTGTGCGCTCAGAAGCAGCCGGTACCCTGCTGAGCCTGGAAACGAGACCCCTGCCTGGCAGACACCTTGCGGTGGTCTGAATGTTTCTGTTCCCCCCAAAATTCATATGGCAAGATCCGAACTCCCAAGATGATGGTATTAGCAGGTGGGGGGCCTTTGGGGGGTGATTAGGTCATGGGGGGCAGAGCCCTCACCAGTGGGATCAGTGCCCCTCATGAAAGAGGCCTGGGACAGGACCCCCAGGCCTTCCACCACCTGAGGACACGGCGAGGAGCCACCTGTCAATCAGGAAACGGCCGAATCTGCTGGCGCCTAGATCTTGGACATGCAGCCTCTGAACTGTGAGTGGCAGATTTATAAGCTCCCTGGTGTCTGGTGTTTTGTGTCGCAGCCGGAATCGAGTAAGACACACCTGGATTGCGGCTTTGTGTGGTTCCGAGGCAAAGTCCACGCCCGAACTCCTGACTCTCGGAATGGGTGAGGCCAAAAATATGTGTTGTTTTAAGCTGCACTTTGCCACGCAGCAGTGTGAAACTAAGTCAGCGGACATTTGGACGGAATCCAGGTTTGGGTTTTTAAAAAACCCTGGGCTGCCATGGACATCGGAGTCCGTGTCTTTTGGTGAACATGTATACATACACGCTTCTGTTTGGTGCATGCCTAGGAGGGGACTGCTGGGTCCAAACGGGGGGCTTACTACGTTGCCCTCTGGTGGATTCTGCCGACAGTTTTACAGAGCATGTTACATTTGCATGGATGAAGATGAGATCCGAAGCCAGCTCTGCTGAGCTCTGAATGGATACCGTGGCCTGGGTCAGGATTTGGGGTGGGCCAAGGAGACACAGGGGCGACTTGTCTTTCCTTAGCATCAACCACACGTGTCTGTATAGCTCTGCAGACGCTGGCCAGGAGCTCATACCTCATGACAGTCGTTCCTGCTCATTTTACATTTGGGGTCTCATAATTTTGAGTCTCGTGATTTTAACCCCAGGCCTGAGAAACACCCTGTGTTTCTCCGATCCATGAATATTTGGAGCATGTCTTAAATTGTGATGGATTCTCATCACAATTTAATTAGAAAATGTTGAGATTGCTATACACGTTTATTTCCAGGCAGCTCAGCGCTGGTCTGTATCTCTAATCGTAGCTTGCTAAGCAGTAACACACGTAACACATAGTACACTGAGCACCTACTATGTGCCAAGCTCTCACAGAGTGGCAAGGTTGCTTAAGTGTTGTGCAAAACAACAGGCCCCAGGCTCACATACCTCAGTCCGCGTGGTTCTTGTACCAGTTAGCTATTGCTGCGTAACAAATCAGCCCCAAACTGAGTGACTTAGCACAACAAATTCAATGGGTCAGGAATTCAGGAAAAGTCAGCTGGGCAGTTCTGGCTCAGGGTCTCTCCTATGGTTTCAGTCCAGTGGTGGCTGGAACTGGAATAGGAAGAAACTGGAGTGCATGAGGGCTGGTCAGGCATCTCTCTCTGTCTCTGTCTCCCTCTCTCGCTCTCCCCTTCATGTGGTCTCAGGGCTTCTCCATGTGGTCTCTTTGTGTGGCCCTCTTGGCAAGATTCTAGAATAACATACATGGGACAAGAAGTATTATTCTAGCCATCTTTGGAACATAAAATTTGCTGTAACACATGAACACAGCTGGAGCGTGGAAAAGTGGTGGTACAGCTCTGGCCTTGGAATCAGCCCAGAATGGGTTCAACTCTCGGCACTTCCGCTGACTGGCTGTGTGACCTTGGGCAAGTTACATAACCTCTCTGAGCCTCAGTTTTCTCATCTGTAAAATGGAGAGAATAATAAAGCCCATCCTTCATGGAGTTATCCTGAGAATTAAATGAGATCAGACATGTAAAAGCTTAGCACCTTGCCTAACATGTCGTTAAGTGTTCAGAAGGGATGAGATGTCACTATTATTGAAAATCGTAACAATCCAAGACCATTTAGTCTAAGGAGTAAGCGATCCCTTGTGTCAATGCAGGAGCCCCCAGGAACCTGGCGAAGTGTATCCTACACACGATAGGGATTTAGCCCCAGCAAACAATTTCACATTAACTCTGGTCTCGGTGAGGACACTGAGTTATCAAGAAGAGATCGGATGGGATTGAATCTAGTTATTAAGTCAGAAATTGTGCGCTTTTATAAACGCCAGAACACTATAAACACTTCGGCACTGAGCTCTCTAAAATCAGGCATTGTGTTTTATTTGTCCTCCTGACACCAAGGCCGGCAGCTGGCATGAGTCAGCGCTCCCAAACGCTCCCAAATGTTGGACCGCATCTGATAAAGGATGAAACTCGGCGTGCTGGAAGATGTACAAACTCATAACATCTTAGGATGCTGGATAAATATAGGTTCTTTTTTCCATCCAAAATGGAAATGCAAAAAAAAAAAAAATACAACTTGTTATTATTACAAGTCACGCATGCATGTTATAAATTAAAAAAAAAAAAAAACTGGCAACTCAAAAATATATTTAAAAGGCAGTTAAAAAAAAAAAATCACCAAAAACTAACTACTGTTAACATTTTGGTGAGCTTTTTTAATTTTTTCCAGAATGCTTTTTTAAAAAAATAAAAATAGCATCATGGTATAATGATGTGTAATTAGGTATTTTTCACGTAGCTACGTATAATCACCAGATGAGTGACAGCTGACACTTGCATTCACGGGGAATCGACACAGGAGCAGGAGGAGAGAGACGCCGGGTGGTGGCTCTTCTCTCGCCGTTTGCACGACCACCCTGCAGGTGCCTGGATGCCCAACCCGGGGCCCACCCCTGCCCAGCTCTGCTCTTCCCTCTCTGTCCTGCCAGCCGCTGCCTCTCACAGGGTCTCTTCTTGGTCCTCCCCACCCTCCTGGGCTGTGCGGGGTGCATTCGACTCCCTGCCCCCCTCGCATCTCTGAGAAGCAGCAGGACAAACACCTGAGGGTTCTTGAATCCCCAGCGCTGTGCCAAGAACTTTACCTATAATATTGCAGTCAGTTTCCACACTGCTCTAGGAGGGGCGTCACCACCACACCCACTTTACAGATGGGGAAAGTTGAGGCTGGAGAGGTTAAGGCACTTGGCTATTGCTACAGCCTGCAAGTGACGGATCTAGGATTGGACACAGAAAGGGAGACCCGGAGTCTCTGCCCTGACCCCTTCACCACTGTCCTGAACTCCAGAACTAGGTGGAAATACATTTGTCGAGTGCTTTCTCAAACTTCCTCGTGCCACTGAGACGCCGACCCTTTAAGGAAGGGTGTTTTGTTTTATGACAAGGAGCACAAAGCTCAGAGAGGTTAAACAACATGCCTGGAGAGTCACAGCTGATTAGCCACCCAGCCAGCCTTCCAACCCCCCACTGCCGGATGCACCAGCTGATTAGCCCCACGCTCACCCAGGCTTTCCCATTCGAGAGCCCCTCGGTCACCCCCCCCCCACCACATCTAGAAGGGCTGCAGGTCTTACTGGAAAGAAACAAACCTTTGGAGCAACCAAAGACGAGCATTTCAGCGTGTTGCATGCAGTCTGCACCCAGACTGCCTGGGCAACCTCGGACCAATCACTTAACCCCTCTGGGCCTCACTTACCAGATCCATCAAACATGCAGATGAAGGCAGCACCTGTCTCACGGAGTTGTGAGGGTTAAATGAACGAGCTTACGTGAAGCACTTAGGACCGTGTCTGGCTCCTGGCCAGTGCAACACCAGGCCTTGCTACTATGACTATACATAGCGGCCGGAGCCCAATACAGAGTATTACTTTCCCCGGCTGCATTGCCGGCCTTGGAAGGTATTAGTTTCCTATAGCTGCTGTAACAAATGACAGCTTTATTCTCCTACAGTTTTGGAGGTCAGAAGTCCCACATGGGTCCCACAAAGCTAAGATCAAGGTGTCAACCAGGCTGCCTGCCTCCTGGAGGCTCTAGGGGGGCCTCTGTCCCTTGCCTTTTCCTGCTTCTAGAGGCTTCCTGCATTCCTTGGCTTGTGGCCCCTCCCTCCCCCTTCCTCAGCAGCACAGCATCTTCAGATCTTTTTCCTTCTAACACCTGGATCGTCCAGGATAATCTCCGGGTCACCTGATTAGCGACCTTAATTCCATCTGCCGCCTCATTCCCGTAACCTCACACACCCACAGGTTCCAGGGAGGAGGACATGGGCCTATTCAGGGGGACATCTTTCTGCCAGCCACAGAATGGTACCTGGGAGCCACTGCCCACCCCATGTCCACTC